GCAAATCAGTAAGCCACTTAGGGAGACCCTGTCTCAAAGTAAAACATAAAAATGTTCTGGGAATGTGCCTCAGTGGCTAAGTGACCATGTGTTCAAACACCACTACCAAAAAAGAAAAAAAGAAAAAAGAAACAATTTTGACCAATGCTATGGACATATATATGTAAATAAAGTACAATGAATGAATTTCACCTTTATAAATCAGTAGTTTAAGACGCTTCAAATAAATTGAAGGAAGGCTTGTAGATTAGAAGTATGGGAAAGGGGGTACTAGGAGAGTTGGGAAATGAGTAGTACTGGGGACTGAAGTGGAGGCAACTACATTCTATGTATGTATGATTATGTAAAAGAAAAATTCCAATATTATGTGTAAGATATTAATGAAAACATTCAGAAAACTCTTCCAGACCTGTGGTTATTTCTTTTTACTATGACTGTAGTTTCACTTGCCTTTTTTCCCCCTTAATTAAGATTGACAAGGGACTGGGGTTGTGGCTCAGTGGTAGAGTGCTTGCCTAGTGCATGTGAGGCTCTGGGTTTCATCCTCAGCACCATATATAAATAAAACAGATAATAAAAATATTGCGTCTGTCTACAACTAAGAAAAAATATTTAAAGTTTGTTAAGCTGTGTGCAGTGGTGCACATATGAAATCCTAGAGATTACCCAGGCTGAGGCAGGAGAAGTCCAAAATTTAAGTATCCTGGGAAACTTATTGAGAATCTGTCTCAATATAAAGAAACTAAAAATAAGGCCTGGGACTGTTCTCAAGGGCAGGATGCCCTAGGTTCCATCATTACTACAGAAGAAAAAAAAAAGAAGATTGAGAGCCACAAATTCAATGATTACTTGAATGTTTTATCAATTTATTCCTGATATTACATTCCCAAAGTCATTCATTTCTTTCATTTTAGTAATATTTTTGATACTTTTAAGATGAGAATGTTTTTGTCACTCTTGCTCATCTCTTAACATAAATACTAAAATCTCTTATTTTAAATCTGTCAGGTTTGTGTACGATACCTGCTCTGTCTTCTGACTTACCTTGTAGTGCTCCTTAAACTGATATACCTGTGACTATTTCTGTTTGGATATCCATACAGGGAAACCTTCACTAATAATCTCAGCTAGATATTTCATGACTTCTCCATTCTTTTTGGAAATCCAAATTATCTGAGCCTTCCAAGCAGAGAGCTGTGACTTTCTGTCACAAATGCATAACCTACTATTCCTGGTGTCTGTCTGCAGTACTCAGGTGCTCAATCAGTTGCCAAATTCTCTCTTGTTCTCAGGATCCCCTATTTCAGCTCTCTGTGTCACAGGAGAAATAAAGCAATCACTTGAAACACCAGAATGTTGGATTTATGTTCCCTTTACTGACTCCCAAGGAGAACATTGAGAATTTGTTATTTTCTCCTGATCATACCAGATTGTGTCCACTTAAGAATAGGCTGTTCTGGGTACTTGTTCCTCCCCACTTTCAATAAGGCTGTTCTTACTTTTGCACTCTGTACTGATGTTGTCTTAGTTGTACTAACATTATTTGGATGGGATGGAGGGCTGTCCATACCTCTAGGTGTGGTTGTGAAAGAGAAGTCATTTTGCAGAGCTGCTAATTCACATGGAGTCTATGCCCTTTTTTCATTGTTCAGTGTATAAATGTAAAATGTG